TTTTTTACCTTGGTTGATCACTGTCTTGCGAATGGGGAAAAGTAGCTTACGTCTGCGGATGATCTCTTGTGGATATTGGTCGTTGAGTCCGTAATGAGTCCCTTTGAGCTGCCGTCCTTGTCGCTGAACCAGTACTTTTTGTTTGAAATGTTCAAATTTGGCGATGATGGGGCGGGAATGGGTGAAGTTTCTGTCCTAAATGGTGAACGCGGTGGAAGGTGATGTGCTCCACAGTCTCCGGTGTAAGTTTGAGCTGATTAACCAGGAAGTCCTTAACAGATTTTTTGGGGTCTTCGGTGGATGATTCAGGGAATGCCGGAGAAGATTAGATTGTCTCTCATACTGCGTGACTGTATATCCAGGATGGTTTCTTGCATGGCTTTGTTCTCAGAGATGACGGAGGTAAGTTGAGTGTTTAGTTGAAAGTTTTGCAGTGAGTGTGTCCACGGAGCTTTTCAGTGATTTATTTTCTTCTTTGAGTGAATCGACTTGCTGTTGACTGTATTCCATGCTATGGCGGAGGTTTTGAAATTCTTTGTGCAGTACTTCGATTAATGAGAGTCAGAGTCCAGATTAGATAAGCGCTCGTTGATTGATAAGAGTATGTTGGAACAGCAGTTTGTTTTGATCGGAGTGGATTCTGGTGATGTTGGTGTTGGCGGTGAATCGGTTGATAAGGGAGATTCGAAATGCGTGTTTTTTTTGGCTTTGCGTGATCGGCTCATTACAGAGTCTGTTGAAGTGATGGTCAATGTAATCCTCCAGTTGGTCCAGGTCCGAGTTGAAATCCAGGTTTTAAGTTAGGGTTAAAGCGGGTGATGTTGTAGAGGAAAAAGCGAGAGAGGGAAAAAGAAATACAAAGTTTGTTGTCATTTCTAGCGCCATGTTGAATTTCGCACCCAACACGCACACACACACTACGTCAATACGTCATCCCGTACAGTGTTACCCTCAACCTCATACAGTAGGTTCTTGCTAAAACTCAAACATGCTGCATAACACGAGAATGAACCTCATTGGTTCTTGCTGAAGGTCAAACATGCTGCGTAACACGAGATTGAACCTCATTGGTTGTTGCTGAAGCTCAAACATACTGCGTAACACGAGATTGAACCTCATTGGTTATTGTTGAAGCTCAAACGTACTGCGTAACACAAGATTGAACCTCATTGGTTTTTGCTGAAGCTCAAACATGCTGCATAACATGAGAATGAACCTCATTGGTTTCTTGCTGAAGCTCAAACATACTGCATAACACGAGATTGAACCTCATAGGTTCTTGCTGAAGCTCAAACAAGCTGTATAACATGAGAATGAACCTCACTGGTTTCTTGCTGAAGCTCAAACGCGCTGCGAAACACAAGATTGAACCTCATAGCTTCTTGCTGAAGCTCAAATGTGCTGTTTAACACAAGAATGAACCTCATTGGTTCTTGCTGAAGCTCAAATGTGCTGTTTAACACAAGAATGAACCTTATTGGTTCTTACTGAAGCTCAAATGTGTTGCATAACATGAGAATTAACCTAATGTAATCTTGAAGAAACTCAAGTAACACAAGATTGAACTTCATTGGTTCTTGCTGAAGCTGAAATGTGCTGCATAACACGAGATTGAACCACATTGGTTCTTGCTGAAGCTCAAACATGCTGCATAACATGAGAATGAACCACATTGGTTCTTACAAAAGCTCAAACGTGATGCGTATCATAAAAATTAACCTAATTGGATCTTGCTGAAGCTCAAACGCACTGCGAAACACAAGATTGAACCTCATAGGTTCTTGCTGAAGCTCAAATGTGCTGTGTAACACGAGAATGAACCTCATTGGTTTCTTGCTGAAGCTCAAACGCGTTGTGTGACACGAATTGAACCTCAATGGTTCTTGCTGAAGCTCAAATTGCTGCATAACATGAGAATGAACCTCATTGGTTCTTGCTGAAGCTCAAACATGCTGCGTAACATGAGATTGAACCTCATTGGTTCTTGCTGAAGCTCAAACATACTGCGTAACACGAGATTGAACGTCATTGGTTATTGTTGAAGCTCAAACGTGCTGCGTAATATGAGATTGAACCTCATTGGTTTTTACTGAAGCTCAAACGTGCTGCATAACACGAGATTGAACCTCATAGGTTCTTGCTGAAGCTCAAACATGCTGTATACCATGAGAATGAACCTCATTGGTTTCTTGCTGAAGCTCAAATGTGCTGCGTAACATTAGAATGATCCTCACTAGTTCTAGCAGAAGCTCTAACTTGCTGCGTAACACAAGATTGAACCTCATTGATTCTTGCTGAAGCTTAAACGTGCTGCGTAATATGAGACTGAACCTCATTGGTTCTTGCTGAAGCTCAAACATGCTGCGTAAGACTAGATGGAACCTCATTGATTCTTGCTGAAGCTCAAACGTGCGTAACACGAGAATGAATTTCATTGGTTCTTGCTGAAGCTCAAACACGCTGCATAACACGAGAATGAACCTCATTGGTTTCTTGCTGAAGCTCAAAAGTGCTGCATAACACGAGAATGAACCTCATTGGTTCTTGCTGAAGCTCAAACGTGCTGCGTAAGACTAGATGGAACCTCATTGGTTCTTGCTGAAGCTCAAACACGCTGCATAACACGAGAATGAACCTCATTGGTTTCTTGCTGAAGCTCAAAAGTGCTGCATAACACGAGAATGAACCTCATTGGTTCTTGCTGAAGCTCAAACGTGCTGCGTAAGACTAGATGGAACCTCATTGGTTTCTTGCTGAAGCTCAAACGCGCTGTGTAAAACAAGATTGAACCTCATTGGTTCTTGCTGAAGCTCAAATGTGCTGCGTAACACGAGATTGAACCTCATTTGTTCTTGCTGAAGCTCAAACGTGCTGCGTAACACGAGATTGAACCTCATTGGTTCTTGCTGAAGCTTAAACGCGCTGCGTGACACGAGATTGAACCTCATTGGTTCTTGCTGAAGCTCAAACGTGCTGCGTAACATGAGATTGAACCTCATTGAATCTTGCTGAAGCTCAAACATGCTGCGTAACACGAGAATGAACTTTATTGGTTCTTGGTGAAGCTTAAACGCGCTGCGTAACACGAGATTGAACCTCATTGGTTCTTGCTGAAGCTCAAACAGGCTGCAAAAGACAAGACTGAACCTGATTGGTTCTTGCTGAAGCTTAAACATGCTGCGTATTTTGCCAAGCTTCCATTTACCACAACTGATGTAAGAGTCGATGAATATGTGAATAACAGTCAAAGTGGTAGCTGCGTAGAGGGACAGAAAGCTCTCAGATTTCATCAAAAAGATCTTTGTTTGTGTTCCGAAGATGAACGAAATTCTAACAGGTGCAACGACATGAGGGTGAGTAATTAATGACAGAATTTCCATTTTTGTGTGAACTAATCCTTGACTAATTTGGGTGAAGTATTTTAGCAGTGTTTGCAGTTTAATTCAATATCAGGAAATATTCTTGCTTGAAGGACTCAAAAGAAAGTTTACAAAACTAACATTGTATAAATACTAGGTTTTAAACATAAATTGTTCAAGGTAATCAGTTTCCCCAAATGGCATGATTTAACATACTGTGTAAGTAACAGTAGAACTGTAAATTAACTTATACTGATAATCCCTGCTTTGTGTCAGATTTGGGTCTAAGAATTTCTACAAGGCATAAAACAAACATACACATACTTTCTAAAATTTCTTTATCAGAATAAATCTAAAGCATAAGGCAATTCAAGAGCACACTCATTGAACCTAGAGTGTGTGAGGAACATCTGTACCCTCACTTACGCACAACACACTGGTTCCCTCCGGGTAGAGTCGTCCAGCCTGGACAACAGTAGGACTGCAGACGAGATCCACACACATTAGGACTGCAAAACACAATGATGATGAGCTTCAAGATCAAATTCACCTGCATAATACATGTAAAGGGAACGCTTGACAAAGCAGTGGAAGAAATCTGCACACACAAACAATTATTGAGCTTGTCTAAAAGTTCACAGTGAAACTGTGAACTATATGACATATACCTCTGTAATAATAGAGCGCATGTGTATATCATTAAGAACAGCCCACATATCACAGCTTAAAACTAATAAGAGCAGCATTAGTTTGGATGTGTGTGTAAGACTCACCCTCTGAATGACCATCCATATGAACAGTCTCTTTTACATGAATTCCTGAGATTCCATTAAAACTCCCAGAAGAGCTACAAATCCAACTAAACACCTCAGAGTCAGATCCCCTTGAGATGTCATGATAGATGCAGTGAAACTTTACAGTCAGTTGGTCTAGGAGATAAATGGAAAATCATAACAGATCCTGTTTTTGTTGTGTTAGTTTTTTAACTTTGTTAGTTTTTTAACTCGCTAAATGTAAAGCTGTAAGATAAAGAGCCTAACTGAAGAGAAGTAGAGCACCTTGTGGAGGACAGGATGAATGAAGATCTACACGTCAAGTAAGGGTGATTCATAAAGTCGTGACGCCACCACCGGTCTACCTATCGAATAACACGACTGGACCTAGACTGTCTGCAATTCAAGCGCGAAACCTGAGGAGACGTGAGAAAATAATGTGTGGATGAAAATCATCTCAAATTGTAATGTAGCTTGTCATGTAGCTAAATTTTATGTTTAGTATACACACCAACCATAGATACAAACACGTTAATTGATACACGTTAAAATGTATTTAATTCAGTTTAAACAATTTTTTTCTGTATATGAATTACATAATATTCAGCAATATGCTTACACACACGGGCACGCGCGATAAGTTCTTAATTCTTTATTAAATATCACATCCCTCTTTATGCAAGATTTGTAAACGATGTGTAAGGTTATCACAGCCCCCTTGTGGTGAACAGTCTTTGCAAGTTTGTAAATAAATGAACTGTGATTTCGCCGTTTATTGGATTGATCACATGAATCATGATCTAATAAGTGTTTCGTATAGCAGCATGGAGACACAGAAAGCATGCCAACTTTATTAAATACAAGCATGTGAACGATAAAAAAGTTAATTTTATTATTATGTAAGTGAGATGCTAACAACTGAATAACAATTACACTTTGTCATACATGCCAGAACAATCCATGAGGTTTTCCAGTGTCCAGCACTAACACACAACAGACAGTATGAACTGGCCTTGAACTGGAAGGTGGAAATGATTAGAGCTACAAATACAATATAAAAAAAATAATATACTGTCCAATTACATTTCATTTAATTATTTACATTGTTGCATATAAATGAAAAGGCACGTTTGCTTGTTTATTGAGGTTATAAAACCAATTCATAGAATCCACTTGTAGAAGTCCTGCTGTAACAAACATATCAGACATCAGAAATAGAACAAGAGCAGATAATACTCATAAACTGATGTTAGATTATTATACATTAATACACGTAAAACCCTTTTCTGTGCTTTACTGTTAGTAAAACAAGTAAACAATACTTTCTAACCACTCCACTCAGCTTGTAACTGATTATAGTATTAATTTGTTTTCTTTATTGATGTTAATTAATCTTAAAATCATTCTGGTATATCTGGGCTCAGTACCCAATAGACACCTACTGGTTTATAACCAGAACACTAAAAACTCACAAACAATTCATAAAAGGCTGACCACTGTGATACACTGGAGAGTAAATCCACTTCCACATGTCATCTAGTGATGTGCATGCATTCTGAACGCATCGTTTCACGGGTCACTGCATTTCCCACAATGCATCTACAGCCTCTTTTTGCCTGATATGATGTGTTGATACATGTGTGCAGTGAGGGGGGTGTAGGTTTTCTGCGAAGAGTCCAGGAAGTAGAGAGGCTGCTGGACTGTATGAGGACTGAAGCCCTCCTGGACCAGTCTTCCCTTCTGCTGCTTGAACGTGTCTGTCATGTCTAAGGAAGTCTGCGGGACAAAAGCAGGAAAAGCACATAAAGACTCAAGGCAATGGATGCATGTGTAAAAGCACACATGCAGGGTGCGGCTTCTTCCAGGAACACGAGTCGTACATTGCACAGTGCTGTACTATTCTTTTCTCACAACACAGATTTAGATCCACTGTGATGAGCGCTATTCCAATAAACTCAAAAGACATTGACATCTCTGTATAGGATTTTCTGATGCATGTCATTGTTAAAGATGCTCTTATACTGTAATGCATTAGCATTGGCCAGTCCACTTTTTTCAGAAGTATTTCTTCCAATCAGTGTTTCCCATGGGGATTTTTAAAAAGTCTGTGATAAAGAATTATAAGCCACAAACCAAACCAATCAGCAACGAGCTAAATCACAACATTACAGTTTTATTTGAAGCAAAAAAACATTCAAGAAAATCAGCTTTAGTGAGGGAAACAACAACAATCCCATGAAACATTGGGGGTAACAAAATCGAATTAAGCAGAAATATAAAATTATTATCTATAGAAACAATACTTGTTATTGCACAACATGCATGTACATACAAATATTTACGGTTTTTTTGAGAGCGTAGGGAGAGCGTACGTTCACTCATTTGAATTACGTCATTCGCTACATAACAGTTTTATAATTAAAAATAACTCAAATGGGCATCTATACCAAAAAACAAAGCATCAATTAACAACATAAGGCTTACAACAGGGGCCTATTCCATGAAGCCGGTTTAGGTGGCTAGCCAGGTATGTTTCAGTTTAGTTTGCACCTTTTTTTTTTCTTTCTGACAACCAACCATTTACAGTCTTCAAAAGATTGTGTCATACATAGTCAACCCCGCCTCCTCACTAAGATGAATGTTTTTGTATTTTCCTTACTCAGATACCCCTTTTTGACCAAAGCATTTTGAGAGCCGGTTCGGAGCCGGTGCCTGCATGCGAACCAGTTCTTTGTGTTTCGACAGCCAAAGAACCGGTTCTCGGCCAGGAAAACTGGTTCCAAAGCGGCACCAACTTTTTGCTGGACTAGAACCATTCTTTTACCACATCATGCTTACGTCGGGGGCTGGGGCGGGTTAGATGTGTTCTAAATATCTTTTTTGGCCATCGCAAAACCAGGAGAAACATTTGCAGAAAAACAATGGAGTCCGCCTTTGTAATTGTTATGCTTGAAGTTGGCGCAAGCGTTTCTATTTTTTTTTTTATTATTAAACAACATAATAAGCAAAGAAGAAAACAGTCACAATACAGAACAAATAAATGGAAAGAAAAAAAATAGACACAAGACAGGGGTACATAACTAAATCAGAAAAGATTAAAAGACTTACATATTTCAATTGTTTTAAAGCCTTCTTTGGTATACGAGTTAGAGATAATCCCAAAGTAATGTTGTACTTGCAAGCATTTCTAGCTAAGATGTATGGCGACGTACACAGTGACGTAACGGCATCGTTCCCTGGGTGCTCTAGTCAGGGGAAAAACAAACAGGTTCTAAAGGGGTTCGCAAGTTGAACCAACTCCGAACCAACTTTGAACCAGCACCAGTTCCGAACAAGTTCTTTTTTGGTGGAAAAGGGGTAAGAGTTGCTCTCAGATATGTCCCGAATCGCTCTTAACTAAGACTCCTACGTAAAGGTTTTTACACTAAAATAAGAGTTTTCTGAGAGGATTCTTAGAATCTTTATGAATACGGGCCCTGGCTTTTAGTAATGCTTATTTAGAATAATAAATTTGTATGATTTAGAAATTATGTAATTATTATACCCTTAAACAATCTCACATTTACCATTTCAGTTCATCAATTATTATTACGCAGATTTCAAATTAATATATATATATATATATATAAGGTATTATAAATACACTTTAGAATCAATAATTGAAGCTATAAAATGACTACATGTGAGCTTAAATGTTCAATTCTCTCTATACCTTTATCAACTGTATAAACTAACTTCACAACTTTTACTTGCACTGATATACAGTAGTGAGACTTTCTTTTAGTTGTCCTCTAGTAGTCCTAGTCCTTTAGTTGTCATTCATAGACAGCTATTTTCTTCTTGCTGTGTAAATTTGTTTAAATTCTTAATATTTTAATACTTTTATTTAATAAGTGAATTGCGCTGCTTCTCTCTCTCCAAGAGAAATTTATTTCAATGAGTTTCACTCTTTCTCAGAATGTGATTGGCTGTTCGCTACTGATGTCAGACCTAAACTCAGGATCAAAGCCTGAGATGACAGAGAAAGTTGATGATCAGCATCATGGTACCAACAAAGTCTGGTTTGGGTTTGTCAACTTGAAACTAAACTAACATCATGCTACAGGCCCTAGGTCTGTCTTAAGAGGTTTAAGAAGTTATTGTTAAAAAAAAACAAAAAACGTTTGCCCTCTTTTTACTTTTATTTCACTTCCTGAAGCCGACTGCTGCATTATTTGTTTGTTTCTCTGACCAGTCGATTCTTTGGAAATCATAACAGAGGCTGGGTGACTCTTGCAGAATAACTTCAGCTTTGTATAAGCAAGATGAAAACCTAAATTTGTAATGACGTGCTAACTGTGATATAACTGACTCCAGACAGCACAGTTATTAAAAAATACTTCATTGTTGAGTGGGTCCATTAAGTGAGCTGTAAGTCAATTATTCCTTGCATATCCCAGTTTAACACAGTCAAAGTAGTTGGACGTCCTGAGTAATTAAAACAAGATGTGTCCTGTCCTGCTTCCATCCTGGCTTTGGTCAAGTCACCTTTATTTATATAGCGCTTTTTACAATACAGATACTGTAAATACATTTTCTGACCTCAAGTGGTCACAGAAGACTTTAAGATTCATGTTTGTACCAGATGGAAACAGGGCCTTTGTAACACTTTGTATACTCGTATCTGGTGACATATACTATAGCAAATCTCAACAGCTTGATTGCTTGTGTGAAGGATTTTTTTTCAGTCTGCCAAATACAAATATAAGGCTTGAAGATATTATAAACCTGATTAAAATCAGGATTTTCAGTAAAGCTGCTTTGAAACTATGTTTATTGTGAAAAGTGCTATATAGGCTACATCAATTTTACTTGAGTGGCCTGACATGTCAACTTCTGCTTCAACCACTGATGAGAAAATATAATGAAGTTTTCAGACAAAGAGAGATAGCGAGAGAGAGAAAGAGAGCGAGAGCGAGAAAGAGAGCAAGAGAGTGAGAGAGAGCGAGAGATACCTGAACTCTTAGAAACCACGGCCATGCGTACGGAGGGAGTGTGTGGATCAGATGACTGTAGAGTCTCTCTCCATCCAATCCATGATCATCCTTCAGGACAACAGCAGCCATTCCCACTCGACCCTCGTATCCTGCAGAAACATCAGACTTTATCCACACGAGTTTCAATAGCACAACACCGTTAGATGAAACCACTGTACTTCCCAATTCTGGAATCTGGTCAAATGCAATTAGTGCTTCTTAAAGGAAGTTCACTTCAAAATTAATTTACTCGCCCTCAAGTACTTTCAAACCTGCATGATTTTCTTTCTTTTGCTGAACACAAAAGATGATATGTTGCATACTAAATATAAGTGAAGTAAACACTACAGAGTCTGTCTGACAGCTATCCTGAGCCTGAGGAGTCAGCTGGCATCACCTGGTACAGTGACCCCGTACACACTGACGTCCAGGAGGAAGTCCAAGCCGCCCAGCACCTCGGACACCTCAGTGGTGGACACATTTTCTCCTTTCCACCTGCAAACCAACCAAGAACATGACCCATGACGTGCTCTCTCTGTCAAGGTCAGAATAAACACCACACAGAGAGTCATAGGGATTACTGTGGCCTTTCTGAGCATGTGAAAAGAAAAGGCCCCATTCACACAAAAAAATGATATGAACTATAACAATAATGATAAATTTACAGTTTAAAAAAAATATCCATGATCCTTGACCATGATCCTAGCAGTCATTTGAGTTCATATTTCACACAGTTCAAATGAACAATCCTCTTGTGGCGTGGTTCAGCGAAGTCTGTAGCAGGAGAGTGAGGACAGAGCCGAGCGGGGAGTAAGTGGGTCAAGTTCAAATGATGAACACCTGTTTGTGATTTCAGTAATTGGCGTGAGGAGATAGGCCATGCGGACAGAGCGATAAGAGAAACTGGGGCTACGTCCACATTAATCCGGATACATTTGAAAACGGGGTTTTCGTTTAAAAACGCTTTCCGTCCACACTAGCGTTTTCAGGTGTTTTCCGACGTTTCAGTGTGGATGAGAAACTTCTAAATTCACTTTACTGCGCATGCGTGAAACTTCACAAAAGCTCACCGAGATGATACAGATGGGAAAATAAATAATAATGTCATCGCACAATAACAGGATAATTTTATTTAGAAAATATCTCACCATCACGGATGCGTCCAGGTCGCATTCAGTCACCATATGTTTGGTCTAAAACGCAACTGCTCTCCTGTTTTGCTGCAGGACAGCAAATGTGAGTAGACTACATCTGTTATCTTTGCAGTACTGTGCTATGAAGAATAGCACATATTAAGTAACATAGAAAGTAACATATTTTAGCAATAGCATAAAAATGAATAACACATAACGGGCACAATACAGATAAACATGAATATCTATTGGTACTACATGGATCACATGACTAAACTTACGTCATCGTTTTGAAATACCTCTGGTTTCACTGTCCACACTACAACGCGAAAACGGCGTTTTCAAATTTATCCACTTTGGAGAGCGTTTTCCAAACGATACGTTTTTGTTGACTTAAAACGGAGTCTCAGTGTGGACGGAAGGCCAAAACGGAGAGAAAAATATACGTTTTCAAACGAAAACGTATTAGTGTGGACATGGCCTGGGAGTTTGTGCACGAGAAGCTGTGATCAGCAAACCGAGTGTTACTGAAAGCTGAGACCGACGAAGCTGTGACCAGCGGAAAGAGTGTTGCTGAATCTGTGACTAGAGAAGCTGTATCCAGCGGAAAGAGTACTGTTTGATGTGATTTATTTTGTGAAAGTGTTTGAGTATTGTGTGAGCGCGCAGACACGCTGTGGGGAGAGGCCGACCCCGAGTCTCCTTCCATCACCCACACATGAACCCTGAGCTTTACCCACCTCTTCAAGTTGAAAATTTAAAACAGAATTTGAAACTCTAGTCGAACTCTCTTCTCCGCTTTACGTGGGCATTAGGCTGGGCCTTGTGAAAACTGCCTTGTTTGTGACATTTCTCTTTTTCTCATAATAGATGTAAACATAGTCTCCATCTGTTGTGTATATTCATGTATGTGCGAGTCAAAAGTTCAGTCAGTGTAAGAGCGCTCTGCTCCGAGAGGAAATCCCAGAGGACGAGCCGGAAGGAAAAGCCCTGTGTTTGTAGTTTTACTGCATGAAGGTTGTGCTTCAGAAGTCCCACCAAGTTAGTCTTGGTCAGACCCTCTGCCAGAGCCCTGAAGGGTTTACAAATACTCATACAGAATCCTATCAAAGATGATCCTATGACTGGTGACCTCTTGTAGCTACAAGCCAGAATTAAATGCAAAGATTCTCAACATTATTATAGCCACATTTGCAAGCATGAGGAAAACGGTGAAGTAAAGACCTGAACGTGTCTCCAATCCTGTCTTTGAAGTAGACAAAGTCCCTGTGGTCCTGAAGCATCAGATCCCCCGTGTTGAAATACACGTCCCCCGTCCTGAAGACGTCCCTCAGCAGCTTCCTCTCAGACATGGCTTTATCCCCGGCGTAGCCCAGGAAAGGGTTGGTGAACATCACTGGAGCCACCAGTAACCCTGCTTCCCCTGAAAACACACAAGTCTGGCCTGAGGACCACATGCTGCTCACACACTCCACACAGATCAGACTTTACTTAAGGAACTTTTTGCAACAATCAGGGCTTGACATTAACTTTTTTTGCTCCCCAACTTAGCCACAATTTTGACTAATACCATGGGAAAAAACAGCAATATAGATAATGGTTACACTTTATTTTCAGTTGTCATTATTGCAGTATAATTACATATTTAAGTACTGAGTATTATCAATTAACTACATGTGGTTACTATAGGGTTAGATTAGGGTTTGGTTGTTTGCATGTAATTATGCATAATTTACTGTTATTACTATGGTAAGTTAGCCTGGCATGCCAGACCTACATCAAGATGTTAGGTCTGGAAACTCTTCATTGACAGGGCTCAATCCGAGGGGCGGGATAAACGGTTGTCTTTCAAATTCTCTCTGCACGCAATTGGATAGCGCTACAGCCAATCAGAGCAACGAAGAAGGTGACGTACTAAGCGGAGCAAGTTGATATATTAAACGTTTACCGCATCCAGTCCAGCTGTCAACATTGAACATTGAAAATAAGGGAGATTTCCCAGAATCCATCCCCAAAATAAGGGATTTTTTTTTTGTTTTTTTACACGACCCACAAACTGTAAAAATAAAACACTAATCATTAAAAGTCAAAAGAGTTTATAACTAGCCTACATATGTGTGAGAGAGAAAGAGACAGTATGTGTGTGTTTGTGTGTGTATGAGAGAGAAAGAGACAGTGTGTCATTAAAAAAAATATGTTTAAATACTAATATCAGCTTACGAGGGAAACGGAGCCGGAGTAGTGGTGCTTCGGGGTGCTGGGGATGATTTGGGAGAGGTCCGTGCACTTTACCAATCATAGCGCGCACTGACACAGAGAAAGCCTTTATACTTGACGACACAGCACGAGTGGGCAAAAATGACAAGTTGATCGTTTCGCCACAGCTTTTTTGTAACAGCGTGTTCGGCGCCGGCCGCATCCGAGGATGAACGACTTCAAACCGAATATCCGAGCTTAATTGCTCTGACCGGCTCAACTCTGTCGTCATTATGTTAAGCCCGCCCGCCGACTCTATACACGATGTGATTGGCCCTACCAGAGTTGAGTTTTTCCAGCTAAAATGTCTATGGAGAGTTGCTAGACCACACTTTGCTGCAAAATAATTTTTGCTGCCGCTAGGGTGCGTCTAGATTTCTAGGCTAATTGTAAGTACATTTAACATTTAACAAGGACACTGTAAAATAAAGTGTTACCGATATTTTTAATATTATCTCATAATTTGGAAGCAGGTTTATTAGGCTGCTGTCACTTTACGACTTGATGCACGGACTGACTGTGTGTACATGAATACTCGACCGGCATTTTGACATTATTTTGTGTGTATTTTACGGTTTAAGCACAAATGCCACGAAAAAGAACTAAATTTAGTGCTGAGAGGCAGCTTTATGTGTGGGCACTTTTGGTGTAAGCACAAAATCTGTTGGGAATGAGCAATACACTCAATCCCAAACCAACATTCAAGCCCTATAACAGCAGCAATATTTATCCAGAGCAACTGAAACGAGTGAGTGAGAGGAGGTTGGTTTGTGTGTAACTCGCTGTCGAAGAGATGAGAGCACTGCTAATATCGTGTATCTGTGGAAAATGAGTATTGGAACGTTTCAGATATTTCAGTACCAATCTCTCCAAAAATCTATATTTATGAGATACTACATTCCACTTAGTTTAATATTTCAGATGCATTTAAAAAGCATACAATTGAAAAATATGTATCCACCTGTTTCCAGGTGGCGCTACAGTAAAAAAATAAAGTGGGTGCAACTTCCGGACAGGCGGCAGAACTAGCATACTGTATATATGGTATTTTGTGTGCTATTTAGCAAAGAGGATAATGTTTTTCGGATAATATTTTACCATTTAAACTAAGTCGCAAACCTTCATGAGAGATGTCGTAACGGAGCTCGGGGACAACGTACTGTTCGCGATTGTACATATAACCAGACTAAACTAATTCAGTGGCAAATTTTATTATCCAACACTCATTTGCATAAATATTTTATTTTATACTCATTGCATAAATATTTTAAGTGAAGGCTAATATGAAGCAACATATTCAGGACATGAATGACACACAATAAACATTTCATAGTATATCTAATATAATATAGGCTAAATATATATTTCTCAGGTCTGTGAGGCACGTAGATTACGCTGAGTTTCGGTTAATTTATGAGACGAGCTGCACTCTTGATTGTTGATTATTGTCTGCTATATTTACTTATTTATTAAATCCAGGTAATTTGTTGACGAAACATTGATTAAAATTAAGATACAATTAATACAAAACAAAGATAACTTTAAATAAAGGCTAAGTGCTTTCTGTTTGAGGTCTCTGTGAAAGTTTTAGAGCAGTCTTTTTAGTGCTGCTTTCAGTGAACTGTCACGTCTGTAACATTGTTTTTTCCTCATAAATGTGAAATATTTTATGTTCGGTGGAGAGCTAACCCTTCTTCATCCGGTGGGTAGTATTACTTTAGGTTTACGCAGTGTAATTGACACATTTCACAGAATTTCCTTCATATTAAATATAAAATGTTATATTTTTTATAAAGTGTTACATTTTTCTAAATGCCATAACCGAACATCCAGTATAACTGCCACAGGTTGATCTTCTTATAATAAAGAATTCATTGTGGTGAAACACACAGTATTTTTGTATTTTATTTGCATTTTTAATTCATAAAAAGCTAAATAAATTAAATAATACATTTTAATATAAATATTAATGATTAATCTACAGTCGAATGAATGAATGAGAGTACGTCTCGCTTGTTTACTTTGAACTGGAAGATGGGCCCATTTTTGACACAAGGTCTCATGGGACGTTAGAAATTTGTGGATATTATAAATAAAATTCAACCCACCACACCACTGCTGAAATACACATGCATTTGGCAGGTGTTAATGTCAAGACCGTTATATACAGTATATAATATTTTTTTCCAACACAGCAAATACATGACACTGTCGGGTAAAGCATAGGTTTGCATAAAGGTACTATTCTTAATACTTTCCCTTCCCAATGAACCAGCGAAGGCGATTCCGTTTCAGAGTCACGTAGGAGTTTTATAATTAATATGGTCCCGTTTTATAATTAATATGTCTACTCTCAAAATGTGAACTATATTACCAATTAAAAATACAGTGACCTCACCTTTACTCACTTTAATGCAGTGTCCCGATTCTGTCCGTATGGGCTCATACGTTTGTGGATCACATTTTAAAAACTCAAAAGGCAGACTGAGCTGGAATAAATCAGAGATAAGATCTACATTACATCAGAAAGTACATTCACATTACTGAATGAACTGCAATTCATCTTTGAATCTCATTTATTACATATCATTCAAACTCAATGTTATTGGAGAGTTGGATTCGTAAACCTTAAATAAAAAAGCAGACCTTATTAAAATAACTTGCTCGTCCAATTGGTCCAATTTCATCTGTGTAATTAACGAGCCAATACTGGCCTCAGTCAAACCATAAGCTTCGCGAATTTGGATTTTTCCAAACCGTCTGACAAGCTCCTTCCAGACATCCGCTCTAAGTCCACTTCCAGCGGCGAGGCGGACTTTATGTGAGGCTTCCTCTGCAGTCTGTCAACAAACAAAGCTAAATTGTAATGTTATCTACAACATCAACACAATGAAATGTGGTAACACTTTACAATAATAGAACATGAATAATCATGTACTAATACCTGAATTAATAATTACTTTACTATGAACTAATGATGAGTTAAGATATGTACTAATGAGAAACTAACCTTAACTATGACATGCGTCATATGAATTCCTGCATGAATATACCATCTTAACTACACGTTTGTACATGCTTGTTAATTAATGCATTAATTAACATTTTAGGGTAAACTAGTTAAAACATGTTCTAGATCAGAAGAAAGATGAACTAAAAGGGCACAATGTAAAATTGTTGATAAATTTGACACCAGCAACTGTCACAAACATCAGTGAATGACACTAGATGTCTTGTAATAAAATTAAGTGATTCCACTGCTGCCATCGAGGGAGAAATACCTACACCAACATATTCATTAACAATTGCAATTTGCAAGATGCAATTTTAAAAATTAAAATCAGTGTTAAAGCTGCAATACCTTAGATTTAAATGCGCTAGAGGGCGCTACATTCAAAACAACAACAACGGCTTTGCTTGATGACGCCGTGGAGGAACGCGGAATGATGGGAACTGTTGTTTTCAACTCCACCGTGGATAAATCAGTCAGACGGGAATCGAAAATTAGTTGTCATGGATGAGGTAAA